GCGGGGTTCGAGGCATCGACATGGCACCTGGCACTGTTCCCCTGGACCATCCATTTTTCTTTGTTTTTTATTATTTAATAATTCTTTATTTTTATTTTATTTTTGCCCACAAAATCCAGAATTTATCATCCAAAGTGACAAACCAACCACTGTGCTTCACTTCTTTTTTAAGCTACATTTTTTTGTTTCTCTCTCTACCATTCAAGGATTTCTGCTTCTACTACTTCTTCAGTCTCTCAGATGAACTGGTCAGTTTTCTTCATTTCATTTTTTTCTTTGGTCAAAATTTATGCTTTCTTGCCTCAAATTTCTTGCTATTTAATTGGGTTGACTTTTTCATAATTGAAATTGATTATCATCTTCACCAGTTTGTGTTTCTTCAAGTATGTATATTTTTAGCTTTTTCATTCATTTTTTTTTTTTCAGAATTCCCCTGTTTCTTGATTCTTTCCCCTGTTCTTGGGCCTTTATTTTTTTTTTTTTATTTTTTTTATTTTTTATTAATAAATCTCTAAGCTGGTGAAATTGATCCTGCAGATGTGTTATCTGTACTTAAGTTGTTGAATCTGTAGATTAAAAAAAATTAGATTTAAAAAAAGTTTAAAAAAATAAATTAAAAAAATAAAAAAATAATATATTTGCAGTTAAACCTCTGTAAATTAATACAGTCGGGACTAGATAAATGCAATTAATTTAGCGAAATATTAAATTATCAAATTAATAATTTAACAGGATTTCATCGAGTCGGGACCGAAAAAAATATTATTTAAACGAGGTTATTAATTTATCGAAGTTCTACTGTAATTTGGGATTTTGATTATGGAGTGATTTTGTCATGTGTCTCTGATTTTCATGTTGATTTTGATTTGTTTCAGAAATCAAATCAAAATTTAATATTGTACAAAGATACATGAGTAGGATGATTATGAATATCTTATCTGATTAAAAACTGATGAGGCTTTTGCTAGTTGCTACCACTCAATGGTTATCTTCATTTCAATATTTTTTATTTATTTTATTTTATTATTTCTTAGAAATCTAAGCATTTAGTGTTCATCTACTACACCTACCATTTTTTCAACAATTTTTGTCTAGTTAATTTTTCTCCCCTCAACACTTATGTATATAACACTTTTCCCCCCCTAGAAACATTATGTATTCTCCACCTACTACTTAATTGCCTTTTGAGCTTTGAATTGACTTTTTTTTTGAATTATAAAATCAAACAATGGAATTATACTTGGTCTAGTTTAATCAATCGATTAAGGAAAGGGTTGATAAATTGGAGAAAAAAAATGGTACATTTTCTTAGTTGACGGCGAAAAGTGATTTTTTTTCGTAGTTTGAGGACGCATAACGTGTTGGTTGCATCACTCTCACTAATTCTAAAGCAAAAAAATCCTCTGATAATTAAAATCCGATTTTCGTGAAAGAATGCATTTTTAGCATAAGTAAGTTACGTTGTAGATTTAACTTCAAATCCCAACTCACATGTGAAAAATCACGCAATAAAAAAATATACTATCAACTGCTGGCATTTAGCATCTTATGCGCTAGCTGTGCAAGGCATTATATATATATATATATATATATATATATATATATATATATATATATAGTTTGTGATCCCGAAAGTCAACCCATTTCGGCAAATTCTGCATAAGTTAACAACTTGCCTCGTTTATCAACTTGTTGTTTTATTTAGTATATATTATCAAACATGGCTGCTTCATCCCTTTTCTTGAATTGGAATATATAGGTGATAGCTTGCCGAACCTTCACTCCTAATCCATGCCGTATAATTCATTCGATCGTCGTTCATTTTCTATATAAGTTGATATGTATATAGCCCCGTAAATATATATATCAAGAGAGTCAAATATCGAATCATCAAGAAAGAATGGACCAATCGCAACCGTCGATTGTGACAAAGGATTTGGACATCCCTCTCCACACGATCGGGTTCGAGATCGATCACCTTTCGCCTAACAAAGTTTCGGGTCACCTCCCTATAACTTCAAAGTGCTGCCAGGTAATTAATTAATTAATTTTTTATTTTTTTTTTTGAAATAATGGAGTGGTGGTGCAAACTGCAAACCAATAAGCATCTGACACGTGGACGATGATGAGACAGCCGTTTAAGGTTCTGCATGGAGGGGTTTCGGCATTGATAGCTGAGTCACTAGCGAGCATGGGGGCCCACATGGCGTCGGGGCTGCAGAGGGTGGCCGGAGTACACCTCAGCATCAACCACCTCAAGAGTGCTAAATTAGGCGATTTTGTTGTCGCCGAGGCAACTCCGGTCAATGTGGGGAAGACTATTCAGGTCAAACTTACTATATATAGTAATAATGTGTTTTATCTTATTTTCATATTTCGAAATTTGAAATGTTAAATGTCGTTTCAATTTTACTAATACAGTTTTGACTTTGAAGGTGATTTTGACCATTTTGTAGTCCGGTTTTGGCAAAATTCAAAACCCAAAATTGAAGTCCTTTGAGTTGACTTTCTAATCCAACTTGAATCAGCTAAATTGAATTGAATGTTGGGCGACAAAGTTATGCATGAAAGTTGTCGGTAGTGTTCATTGATTCATGTATATCTTTCTCACCCGACATCCAATCTTGGTAATTCAAATTGGATTAGAAATATAACTTAAAGAACTACAAATTCCGAGTTTTGAATTTTGCCAAATTCAGACAAAAAAACGGTCAAAATCACGTTTGAAGTCGAAATGGTATTATTAAAACTGAAACGGCATTTATCATCCCTTACGAAACACTAATTAAAATGTATCAAATGTTTGATTAAAGATAATGTGG